AGTTTAAAAACACAGATCTGGCAACCTAAATAACAATTGCAACTTGAGCTATGGTGGTGATGAAACGCATTATAACCACCAGCGTAGACACGACTTGAGACTATTCATCCATTAGCTGTTGATGTAACGTCCCCGGATGGAAACAAAGACACAGGTGACCGCAGGTTGACCAGCGATGTCAGGCAGGTAATAGCTGCGTGACTGAAGCCGCTTCAATGAGCGACAGAGCCGAGATGAGAGGGCCTGTAAGCCGCCGGAGGAGGACGACCATCTCCAACGGGAACAAGTGGCACGATGCCGGGGAGACACCTCCACAGTGTTCCGATAAAACCAAAACAAACGAGGTGTCCAGGCACGCGAGTGTCAACGGGAAGGCGGACGGAGAGATGGGGAAGTCAGAGCAGCTGCAGCTCCAGAACAGCCCGAAGAAACAGAGGAGTGTGGTGGAAGACTTTAACGAGAGACTCAGGTAACGTTAAGCTTTTACTTAAGACCTTCAGCGTCACGTGTACGCAAACTAACACGCGCTAACGGCGTTTGAAACGACAGGAAGTCGTTGCCATTTAGACAGATGTGACTGATTTGTATAAAACATTTTCACTGGGGGATAGTCGTTTGTCCTTCAAATGTGGCTCAAAAGGGCTACTTAAATGTGGCCCCTTTGAGCATATATATATATATATATAATGCTATGTTCACAAATGATTAAACCAAGCATTTAAAAATGTTTATTTTTTACATGTAAAGGAAAGTATCGTGTCAGGTTGTACTTTTACTTTGTGAAAGAGACGGGGGGTGATGTATGGCAAGAGAGTAGGTTGTAGATATGAGTGAGAACAGACTTTGTGAGAGGAGACAATAATAGCCGACCTTTATCCTAAATATTTTATGGTAACATGCCCACTTCCACAGATGCGTCTTCACCATTTGAAGCCACCTCTACTTCTTGTTTTAAACTGCCAAGAGTCTGGCTGGTGTTTTACTCGCACTCTTGAATTTAAAGATATAAAGATTGATATCATCAGGGCAACACCAGAATGATGAAATAAAGTGACTGTAACAAACAACAATGGCATGTGCTTTTGCAATCCTGTGCTTGCTGCCTGTCTGTCTGCACGTACTCCTGCAGGTCTTGTCTTGCTGTGGGTGTCCTGGCACTCATTGATGAACCCCTTTCCTCTTTCCTCTCTTTACATGCTCATTTCCTTCCATACTTCACCTCAAACCACCGCTGTCTCTTCACCTCGTCTTCGTTGTCCACCTTTCTCTCTTAAATACTGCATTATCCCCCACCTTATCTTTCTATCCCGTTCCTCTGCTCTTTGTACTCTCTCCTCTGCTTCTCCTCCATCCTCTCTTCTCCTCTGAATGAATGTTCTTCACTTCATTCTTCCTCTCCTTTAGCTTTCATCTCCGCTCTGCTGTCCCTCGGTCCCGGTTTCTTGTGAAAAAGTTCTCGACTGATTTGGTCAATACCTCGAACCTAAATTTTCACAACTCGTTCATTGCCTGGTGCAGTTGTAGGACTTAACATTTCTAGTTGTGTGTGATTTTGAAGATGCAGCTGAATGTTTCCTGAGCAGAGGTTTGAGAGTGACTGGAGTGACGTACCAAATGGTTTCATCCCTGAGCTTCTGGAGATAAACCGGGCAGGAAGGAGTGCAAAGAGCTTGATCAACCCTAAAAAAACCCCCATCCTCAATAAACGGTTCACTTTGTGTTTCCATGCAGCTGTCACGTCCTCCAGGAGTCTCTCTTAAGTTCAGCCAGTGGCTACAGCAACTACAGAGGAATCCTCAACTGGTGCGTTGTCATGCTGGTGAGTTGAACTGTGTGTCCATTCAGAGCTGAAAATGTACTCCGACTTCCACGAACAATGACCCCGTAACTCTGGATGAAAACGTGACATTTTTTAAGAACCAGTTACACCTCTCTTTGACTCTCACTGTCACTTACACACAAACACACACACTGTATATAAAGTTGCTGCACAAGTGTGAAGTACACATCCTCCTGGGATTTTGAAGCTGGACCCATGTTGACACATGAAACGTGTCTGTGAGAAGTCTGATAAGTTGTTTTCATGTTATCTCTCTTTGGTAGATTCTCCACCAATGCGTGCTCAGTCACACCCTCGTGGCCCAGTTTGTCATTTCCTGCACTTGTTTCTCATTTCTACGACTTTAATTAAGAGGTTTTTATTGGTTATACTTTAATCTCAGTGAGTTTTCTTTACGTGTTGAACTTTCAGTCTCATCAGAAGTAGACTTTGCGTTAGCTGTACTTGTATTGAGGGTGTTCTGGTACACCTGCAGTCGACATCCTGAGGATTGAAGTGACGGTTCATGCGTTGATCACACGCCGCGGAATATTCTGAATATGAATGCAATGGAGGGATTTTCAATCATCCCTAAATTGCAGGAGAGAGATTATTATGGGGTTGGATATTTAGTGTCTTGGTTGATGTGACCCATATCAATCAGCATTATATGGTTTCATTTTAAATCCTTGGTTTTAAAAGTCACATGTTGTAATAAATAATAACATGCCTGATGGATGTTCACTGACAGCATCTTCTGCTCCAAGCGGAGTTGGTGTGCTTGCTTGGCCAATAAAGTTGTTTCTCATACTGAAGTTCTAAAATAGAACATGAACCCAAAAGATTAATCTTCTTGCAGAGACGATTTTATTTATAGATCTGAAAAAAACGTCAGTTTACGCTTTTAAATCTTAAGCTTGCTCGGATGAACTGAGAAGAATAACTTGAAAAGCAGCAACAAAAGCTGGTTGCTAAAACATATGAGACAAGCACTCCATATGACGAGAAAATGAATTAGCAGGAGCTTCCTGTTAAGACTAGCCAGCAGGATCTTCTTCTTCTTCAGTCTCTGCCCTGTAACAACTGCTGATTCCAGTGTGCGTCTCCGAAGGCATCCTGCAGAGCTTCTCAACATCCAACCACTGTTAGTCTTTTAATAGCGTGGAGGATACAAATATACAGTCCGCCATAATCCTCATGAAATGCATGTGTGCAAATACAACTTCCTATCCACGTGCATGCTTTGCATGTGTGGATATGTACTTAAATAGTCGAATGCACAAGGGTTATGTGTCCCTGCGTTTGTGTACAATATATATATATATATATATATATACATACATACATACACTCCGCTTGGAGCAGAAGATGCTGTCAGTGAACATCCATCAGGCATGTTATTATGTGTGTGTGTGTGTGTGTGTGTGTTTTGTAGGGTCTTTCTGGGGTTATTTTGCAGTTCTGCGACAGGATTAATTCCATCTTTGAAAATGTATATCTGACGACCACGTCCTCTACTTTCTGGTCACCAGGGACGGCATCGCTTGGTTCAGACCATTTTAGGAAGCCTTCAAGATTAGGCTGTAAGAGTGTGAAGTGGAATCACAAAGTCATGTGTGTGTGTGTGTGTGTGTGTGTGTGTGTGTACACATTTAGAAGCTTAGTTGTGTAATTTGTCCCCAATAACCAGGACCATCGGCTAAATGCCTAAAATATCAGCTGCAGGAGCACATGTTTCTATGGATGAGACATCAGATGTGTTGTTTTACTTCTTTCATTTTCAATGTTGAAGGCAAAGTGTTTCAAAATATTACTAATTCAGTTCATTCACAACCTTAAAATATGGGTGGTCGGCAAAATAACAATTAAAAAAAATCCATCAGTTACCCTTTGAAACGGCTACGCTTCTTTAAAGTCTCTTAAAGTGCTTGTGAAGTAAGTGTTCATGTATATTCAGAATATTCTTGTTGAACTTGACTTTCTCCAGTTGTTTGGAGGATGAATACATTTCAAGGTCTTAAAAAGCTCTCGATAACAAGACACATGCACAACGTTCAGAAGATTAAGATTGGTGCTGAAAACAAATCTGTGCGAGTGAACCAACAAAGACGTTTCTACAAACTGCTGACTAGTTATTCGAGTACAGAACATACATGCATGTCTCCAATAGTCTTTGCTGTGTGTTGAAGGAAAACATTTAACAGAAGACCATGGCCAATGCAAAATGTTTGCTGATTCAGCCTTTGTTGGCACCAGTTCTCTCAGGTCAGCTTAAACGCTTTGTATGTCAGGGTCCTAAAGTTTAGCCCACCCCAGCAGCTCTTTCTATTTTTAAACTTACCAAATCTGAGACGTCGCTCCGATCCACGGGACACCGAGATACAGCTGAGAGAAGTTCATTACTGTCGTATTTCATCTGGCTCACACAGTATCATACCTGTTCAGAAACATACTGAAGATTATTCAAAGGGAATATAAATTGCGTCTATATATTGGGAATTTTATATTACTATTCCCAATATTTCCCGATATTATTTGATAAATATAGACATTTTATTGTTGAAATTGGAAAAAAAAAGAAAAATATTTGAGCAGTTTATCATTTGTGTTTTTTTTTACTGAGGAAATTGTAAATGATTATAAAGAGAAGTAGATAAGAAAATGTGCTTAACTCAGAGTATAAATAATCAGATCTTTGGGTGCTAAAAGGTGTTCATACAACAAGATAACGTTCCTATTACTGACCGATAACAGATGGTAGAAATACTTCCTAACTGTAGTTACAGCTGGACAGAAATAGTTCTTTAACCAGGCAGCCTGGGTTCAGTTAAAATCCCCCCTGCTGAAGTGTCTTTGCGCAACACACTGAATCCCACCGTCTCCCACACACTGACCTCTCTCTGCTCCGGTTCGAGTGAGGACACATTTGTACAGTTGAATAATTGCCAAAATCAGATTTTCGCAATGCTTTCTTTAAATGCTCTGGAGAGGCCTCTTCCCCAAGCCTGGTCCTCTGTTGGCCGAGCTGAAGGTTACTAAAGCAAAGGTCACTGGTTTGGACAAAAGACATGGTTGAATCAAAACCACATTGCTGCTGCGGGGTCTTGGCAGGCGAGTGGGCCGATGGGGCAACATGGCACATAATCACTGCTGCGTGACCTTTATCGTGTGTCGTACCTTCACTGTCCTCGTTATGTTAAACCGTCTCTCTGACTCCTGTGCACTGAACGCACCACATGCACGATCTGAGAAATGTATACATGCATATGTGTACATCTGTGCATATACCTGTTGGCTCTCTGCGTTGAGTGGGTGGTTTAGTCTTTATCTCAGAAAGCGCCGATAACTGATGGCCGTGTTAAATGTGGACTCAGTCCTTGAACTTTAATATGTAATATAGTGATAAACTTGTTTTATTGGACACAGCTAGCAGAGTGAGCAGAAGCAGGGTGTGACGGTTATCAAGGTGTGATGGCAGCCGGGACATGTTGCTCAACTTTAGGTATGAAACAGATCTCATCTCCAGTTGTGTAAACTGATCGTGACGATATGTCCGTGCAACTTTAAACTCTTTGTTGCTCTTTCTGCAAGTTGCTCCGCATTTAAAAAAAGAAAAGAAAACCTGCTGTTTGTGTTTTGAATAATAACTCACTCAGCACACAAAACAAACACATGGAAATCTGCAGACTAATCATGAGCCAGATTCATAGCGGGGGGGCTAAAAATATTGTTGGGTAAACAAAGTTGATTCTGTGAACTCCGCTCATTAGCTCCCGTTGCTTGTTCCTCTCTTCCAGGTGCTGAGTAACGCTCGCCTCTTCTTGGAGAACATTATAAAGTGAGTATGGACACACACACACACACACACACATTATGTAGACAAGCAGGTGCTGTTGCAACTCACTGCCATTTGGTTAAACAAGCGGCCGTGTCGCCCCTCATCCTCCACCTCACCACGGCCCGCTAGTTTAGTATTACATTACATTCATTTGTCACTTTTTGTCCAAAATCAATAGAAACAGGAGCTGGATGTCATCAAACATTTAAAGTTCATCCAACAGCACATGTGCTCAGGGCTTTGTTTGTTTGTCTCTAAAGAATTACATAAGTAAGTGGCAGCCCGGTGTTTCCAGGTGTAGTCTGAAACATTATAAATTCCTATTAAAATTAGATATAATACCGTTTCTATGTTTGCTGACATTCCTCTGGGTTTCAAATGTATTATCCAATTGTTATAGATCACACTGTTGTTGTGAGCAGAGTGAAGTTTCTTGACTTAACCAGACCTTTAACTGACAGAACCAACCTTAAACTAAAGCTCACATAACCATTTTACACAAAAGCATTTCTAAATGATGACCGGTGGGATCAATAATCTCGCTCCGCTCCTCTCTTCTCTAGGTATGGTATCTTGGTGGACCCGATCCAAGTGGTGTCGCTCTTCTTGAAGGACCCCTATAGCTGGCCATCAGCTTGCCTCATCATTGGTACGGAGCATTTACTCTACTGCCCCCAAAGTCGTGTCAACGTCTGTTGAATGACTCACAGCCATTTGTGCTTCTGTGACCCTTAAGGGTGTTCAAGTTGAACTTATTGGCCAACAAGGGAGGTTGTCTGTACATCCCATACGGAAATGAGGAAACATTAGTCTCCATCACTGTAACACAAAGTGTTGCTGTTGACTGTGATAAAACAGCCTCGCCAGGTCTCAAATGGCTGATGTGATGCAGCTTGTTCGAGCAGATTTAACAAGCCAGATGCTCAGTGATAGCATATAGAAGCATTGTTAGCATGAGTTCCTGCCCTGAATATTCCAGCACAGCTGTTAATGATTATTTACTCCTGACATTGTTGCTTTTCCGGCAACAACCGGCTTCATCAATGCAGTAAAACAAGTCAATACAAACGTGAATGAACATATCAGCAGTCTGAATAAAAGAGAATGCTGCTATTTAGAGAAAATGGACTAATATAGTGCCTGAAACTTGCCATTATGTTTGACAAAATCAGTATTTACCACTAGTTTCTCCGTCTCTGTCTGTGTTAAATGGTGTTCCACTGAGTAATAACATGCATGTGATGCTGAGTCTGAGGAGTCTGTTGTTTGTCTCTCCTTGTGTTTCAGTGTCCAATGTGTTCATCTTGGCAGCCTTGTACACAGAGAGGCGTCTGGCTGTGGTGAGTGTTGACAATGATTTGCATACATTTTCATACTTGCAGCTACATTTTCCTTTTACTATTTTGGGGACACTGCAAATTTTGCCCGATTTGTTCGATTCCGTCTGCTTTTGTTAGCTCTGCTGATAAATTCCTGAAACCTTCGACTTCGCCCTTTGTTTGGATTCCAAACACCTGACATTGGAATTAGAACTTTGTTCAGGGATTTGGGGAAATGCGTTGCTGAGCTGTTAGATGAACTGTAAAGAAAGTTGAGGTTTGTTTTGAATATTTATCATTGAGGGAACTCCCATCAAGGATGTTTGCCCGAAAGAGGGGCTTTAGACATCCTGGAGCCGACAGTGTAAAGTCAGCGTCGCGGCACCTCGCCTCTTTATACGCGCTGTTAACTCTGATAACAACACCACTCCTGGTTCAGATTAGATTACATGTGATCTAAAACAGGCATGGCCAAAGACTGGGTCAAGACCCACAGGTGGGTCGCAGGAGATTAGGGTCAACCAAGATTTTATTAGGGTCAACCAAATAAATTAGCAACATTTCTTCCTTAGTCCTTTTATTTTACTTGTGTATATGTTGTCAACACCAGCATGAAACAAAGTTACCTCTTCAAATGGCTGCTTTACTGATTCAAGATAATATAAGATGATGCGGAAGTGACAGTAAAGATAGTCAGGACATTCATTTTGTTCACAAATCCGCTCTTATCACGATTTTTAGATGATTGTGAAGGGAGTTGCGATGGTTTGCTAGTTGTTGTTTTTTTAAAGTGTGTCCCCAGAAAAAAAGTTTAGGAAGCACTGACCTAAAACAACTCGACAGAAGCAATATTTTATTGGTTAAAAAGCCCATTAGATCTCGTGTTGCACAGTGAAAAAGCTGTGTTTTTCTGGTTAAAGGAAAAAATAATGAAAGCATATCAACAGTCGGATCCAATGTTTTACGGTGACTCTTTTCTGTTTTCATTGTTTCATTCCTAGGGTACCATTTCCCAAATGACAGGACTGATTCTTCATATTTTTAACCTGACATCCATGTTGATCTTCCCTGCAGCCACTGTACTCACCGTGACCTCCGTGACCCCAGGTACATACTAAATACATGTTCACAGTGTATGTTCATGAGACAAACATTTAGAATAGGAATTAATGCTTGTGTGTGTGTTTTGATACTACCACAAAAGATGCATTGGACTTTTGCATCAGAAATTGCATTTAAATCATCACTGATGTCAAAAGTTATAATTGAAAAAAACTATTTAGCCAATAAACTGTTTTTAGCTTCCTATCTATGTACACCCACACACCAGAGTGCTCCTTTCATCTATCATTTATTGCTCTTAGTCAATGACCCTTTGTGTGTCTTTGTGTGTCTTTGTGTGTCTTTGTGTGTCTTTGTGTGTGTCAGTGGGTGGCGTGCTCTCGTTGGCAATCTACACGGTGCTGTTTCTCAAGCTGTACTCCTACCAAGACACCAACAGGTGGTGTCGAGAAATTAGACAAGCAAAAGCCAAGAGACTAACACGATCATACTCATGTAAGTATATCCACACACACACACACACTCTGTTGAAGAAACGTTATCTAGAGTGTGAGTAGGAACACATGTAGAGGGCAGAGGGGCTCTTGAGCAGGGCACTTAAGAGCAGTGTAGCGGCCAACAGATCAGACTAACAGTCAAACTAACTTGGCTAAAGAAATTTGATTCAAACACACAAATGTCAGCGCACACTTTACAGGATTGCATTGTTCTTTTAGTTTAGTACTGTGCTGCTACTGCCATTTAGTGGTGACAAGACGAACTGCAGCTTTTGGCTACCACTGTCATGCACACAGACAGCGATTAAAGTTGTGTGTTTTGAAGCTATTTTAATCCTAAACGCTACTTTATCTCCTCACTGTAGGAGCTGGGATTGTCAGACTACACACACAGAGACATCCTTAAAATCCAACATGATTATCTGTTATATTAATAATGTAGTTTGATGGGTTGTTGTAGAACCACTTAGGTATGGTAGTCAATGAAATGAGCTGGCGAGACTTAAAGTACCAATTACTTACCATCTCCATTTTCATGTGTGTTTTTCAGGTCCGTCTGTGGCACAATCGAATGGTTCAGCAGTTCATACTCATGTCTCCTATCCGGGCAACCTCACCCACAGAGGTAACCATGATGTCTCAATAGACTGCACAGTTTTTAAAACGATAATGATGAACAATCCTAAATTAACATTTTGTTTCTTTTTGTTGTCTTTAGACATGTACTACTTTGTCTGTGCTCCAACTCTCTGCTACGAGCTGAACTTCCCACGGTCCCCTCGAATACGCAAAAGGTTCCTGATGAGAAGACTTTTTGAAATGGTGAGAGGGAACACAAACGCACATTTAACTTGCATGCTCTTGGTGTCAACTGAGACGTTGGAAAATGAAATGAGAATATGCATGTTTTCAGTTTGACTCACTCTTTCTTGTAGCTTTTCTTCATGCAGTTGTTGGTGGGATTGATACAGCAGGTATGTTGAACATTAACACACCTTAAATCACACAGACAAGTACTCAGAATATACTCTTGTCTGCGCGCACACACACACACACTGAAACACAAGGTTCAACAGAAAGTCGTGGAAATATTTGACTATTTAAATCAAAGCAATTTTCATTTGTGTCTTCCAGTGGATGGTTCCCACCATACAGAACTCAATGAAACCATTCCAGGTGTGTACACACACACACACACACACACACATGACTGCACTTTATTGTGTATGACGATAAGGGGATCTCAGGAGAGCAAGAAGCCAGTGATCTTAGACTGTAATCACTTTTGTCTTGACATTGTCAAAAAGAGAGTTGTCATTGTGTCTCTTACAGGAAATGGACTTTTCTAGGATGGTGGAGCGCCTCCTAAAGTTAGCTGTGAGTATCATGAGGTTCTGTAGTTACACTGGACACACAATTGTATCCTGTCATAACCCTATAATGAAAAACAATAAATACAATAAAAAAAAAACACCACTTTTACCACTTAACTGTCTCACATGTGTATTAGAGGAGAGGTAGCCACATCGCAACCATGGTGTGACCTAAACCATCTAGACACTTCTCCTAACATCTCCCGTGACCCTCTTCTCCTCATCCCCTCTTCCTCTCCCAGGTCCCTAACCATCTGATATGGTTAATATTCTTCTATTGGTTTTTCCACTCTACTATGAACTTTGTGGCAGAGCTGATGCAGTTTGGAGACAGAGAGTTCTACAAAGACTGGTGGTGAGTTGAAGAAACGTCAACATCACACATGATTACACACAAATGTAGTATGCACACCTGTAAAGAAACGCCTTCACATTTTCAACATGTTGAGTCAGAGTCGGTCCCATTTGATCTCGAGGGTAACACAGCAAGTTCACATATTGTCAGCTGTGATTCCCCTAAATTTAAGTGGATCATGTGTCACACGTCACAGGAATGAAAGCGTATTCATTAAACTTATGTCGTCATCATTCAGAACAACCAATTATCTTGAAGTCCAATTCTCAAACTGTGCAATTGTTGTTCATTTCAGGAACTCTGAGTCCGTCACATATTTCTGGGCCAACTGGAATATTCCAGTTCACAAGTGGTGTCTGAGGTGAGCACCAAACTTCTATTCATTCAGCGTTGAAACCGTGTCGGCTTCAGGTTCTCTTTGTGAAATAAAATCCAAAAGAAATCAAGGTGTGGATCACCATTTATTTGGGGCTATTTTCCGCCACATTTTAGAGACCAGTGTGATTTGTCGAGTGCCTAATCGTTGTGTGTGTGTCTCTGTGTGTTACAGACACTTCTATAAGCCAGTGTTGAGGAAGGGAGTCAACAAGTATCTGGCTCAAACTGCAGTCTTCCTGATATCTGCCTTCTTCCACGAGGTAAAGTCTACATATCTGTTCATTCAACCTCAAATCCTGTGCAGTTTTTACTTCATGTCTGTACATGAAACGGCCTGTTGTGGACGGTTGTTAGCTGACAGTGTGCTGGCTTACAGGTAGACGGCTAAATCATAAATGTGCCAAAATAAAAAGATTTAATCTGAGTCATGCGTGTGCAGCTTATACATATTTTTAGAAAAAAAGTTCTGTGTCTGATATTTGTATTTCTCTCCTCAGTACCTGGTGAGTATTCCTCTGAAGATGTTTAGACTGTGGGCCTTTATGGGAATGATGGCTCAGGTAAGGAGCATTCAACCCTCCATCTTTCTCTCCTCTGCTGTAGGCAAACACACTTCTGACCTCTGAACTTTCATCCCTTCAGGTTCCTCTGGCTTGGTTCGTGGGTCGTTTCCTGACTGGAAACTATGGCAATGCTGCTGTGTGGATCTCGCTCATCATTGGCCAGCCTGTCGCTGTGTTGATGTACGTCCATGACTACTATGTCATTCATCATGGGACCACGACACAGTGACGGGCAAACACGCACATTCACACAGTCTCACACACACACACACACACAAACAAGTCATGTTGTAAACATGCACAGCAGCCTGCTAGACAACTCAATGAGTGAATGTAGAGCAAGTTAGGGTGACTTTAATAAAAAGCCCTGTTAATATGAACCGGTCGGTGAAAAGCAGCAGCAACAGCAGGAAAATAGTTTTTGACTTCTTGAATTTTGCACTAAAGAGAAATGAACCACAGTAACAACAAGAGAAGTGTTTGCTTCGAAGCAGCGTTCCACTTTAGTTGGGCAAACATACTTTTGTAGTCGGCCTCATGTATTGACCTCGGGATCCGCAGACACCACCCGCTCTTAATATCTGTCTCCAGCATTGGACTTTTCAACTTTAAATAATCCTGGGCCCAAAGTGAAATAGCACTTGGATTTCTGTTGTTGGAATTCAAAAAAAGTAAATGTGTGGTTGATGATTCATGAGGTCGAACTAAGATTAGTGGCAATTTCTTGAACTTTAAAAGTGGAAACTCTTCTTGTAACCAAGCACTCCTCGAGTTCTGGAAAATGTGTGCACAGTTTGTGAACCACTGCCAAGCGAGCACAGGAGAGACGAGGGTCCTGCCACCACAGAGCTGATGTGAACATGTCGTTTCTATATCGGTGGTTGAAAGTCACTTCTTTTCTTGTATCCAAAAGGCAACAGAGGAATGATGAAGCCAAATACACAGATTGATGCAGTGCAGTAGTTGAGTATTACAGGAATGTATAACACAAGGACTTGTTAAACAAGAACGATTAAAGACAAGAAACTGAAGGAAAAGATGCTAAAGAAAGTGAAGTTTTTGTGACCTTTATTTGTAAAGTTGTGGACCTGCAGGCAGTCTCTCCTCTTCTGTCTCAAACAACATCAATGCAAGCCCTGAGTGTAACAGTACATGCTACAGGCGTGTCACTTGTTATGGCACTTGTCTTTTTGTGTTGCATTTGACTTATCAGATGGTTTATTTTGTACTTGTATCATTTTATTTGTCGGTGTGAGTGTCTTTATTTATGTTGTGCCAGATTATAATTAGTTTTGTCTTAAATCAATTATTTAATGCAATAGTTGATTTACTTATTTGTACCAATGAATGTTTTTGCACTTTAAAGAAATGCATGCTGTTGACTAAAGCAATAGATTTGAATATTTTTTTTAAGTTATGTCAATCATGCGAGGAAGGTATGTTTTGTTGAAATAATTTGTATGTTTTGTGATTTGCTTGTTGACGTATAAGTTTGGCTTACTGTTAGGGTTTTTTTTCCAAAGTAAAACGGCAGCTGCAGAGGTAATGATGAGCTTCAAACAGTATTTAAATTCTAAAGACTCTTTCTTGGTTTGACCTGATTTAAAAGTTGCCAAAAAGGATATTGTTGTGAACTGCTTTCCAAATGCATAGTGACAGTTGACTGATCATGATGAATCTGTTCTTTCCTTATTGAGCACATTTCAGGTTAATACTGTAACACCATTTATCAAAAATACTGTTTTGGCATTCCTTAATGAAATTTAAGTGCCTACTGTAAAAATAAAAAATTGAATTCTAAATATGTTTTGAGTATATTTTCAGATATAAAATCATACTGGACACATTCAATGGTAGACAACTCAAATAAGTAAATAAAATTTTACATTATTTTCATTTGTATGAATCTCCTGTGAAAATAATATTTACTCAATTAAGTTGTTTACTTTTATTTCTGTCTTACTTTATGTTGTTGTGAGATTTCTTGAAAAAGGAAAATATAAAGTGAGTTTAACACGAGAAGCTTCACCACCACAGCTTCAGATGACACCATCCGAGTTCTTCTGAGGATTTGTTGCATCTCCCAGTTCGTCTCTTTGTAGCACTTGCTGTTTCCACATTATTACTGCGCTGTCTGCTCTTGGAATATGAGTATGTAATGCTGGCGATGCGTCTTTAAGTTGAACTGTTTTTAGTTGCTTTTGAATGATTATGTGATGCAACATATAGTTAAATTAATGTATTACTGATCTGTTCAGACTGTACACACAAATCCATAGTGAAACAAAGATTATTTGTTTTGGGAATGCAAATCATTTTCACAGCCTTTCACATGAAATTATGTCATTTGATAAAGATTATTTATGACGAATGGACCCGTCTATTGAGCCTTCATTTTATTAGCGGTTAACAATCTTAAATTGACTGGTTATGATCTTTTCCAGCGCATGTAACATGGCTGCTGTAGAATGCGTGGCACAAACTATTGTTCATAGAAAACTGATAATATCGTCTTTAAACCATTACAGTCAGCATTGAAAACTTTGAGGGCAGATAATAGTCCATAAAAAACTTTATTTTGCAGAAAGCAACAGAAGACGGCACTCAAAACTTACAAATTACAAAGTCATACTAATAAACACAGAAAATAATATAGTTAAACTCCATGACAGGTCTGGTGGAATAGAGCAGGACCAGCATCTCTACTGCTGTAAGAAACAAACGAGTGTTAGGCAAACTTCTAAAAATCCATAAGTAACATCACTGTAATGTGTATTCTATATTTTACTTCAATAACGTTAGTGTAACATTTCCACAGTAGCGCACAGTGGATCCTGAAATTAGCACCCAACATACTGAATTGAGGATTGATGTTGAATCTGGAATTGTTTTGAATCATGACCCCAAGAATAGAAATTGAATTGAATCATGAGATACCAAAAGATTCATTCCCCTATTAATTGTGCAGTTATATGCTGTGTGTGTGTGTGTGACGTTTCACCTTTGCTTTCTGGTTCTGGACAGGCAGGTAGAGTTTAAACTCGGCAGGGAGCTCGTCCTCTGAGTACAGTCGGTCTGAGAAATAAACTCTGCGTATTCTACAGTTGGCGTGGATCTGAGAGGAAAACGGTTCAGAAATTAGCATCAGAAATGAGGATCTACAGTCACACAAGTGCATCTGGAGACAGCTGGTTCCTCGTCCGTGTCTGTGCACTAACCTGTACACGCAGCGTCTCGATGTAATTTGTCCCGTAGGCCCTCCTGGTGAAGTCCGACAGGTTAAACTGGATTTGGTTCCAGCCATCGTCCAGCCTCATAGGCATGGTGCAGATGAACGGCTTCACTCGTGTCGTGCTTTGGTAGTTGCTTGCCCGAAACCGCCGCCGAACGTTTTTATCATCTAACACCTAAACGTTTTTTGTTTTTTTCAAAGATGGGAAGAAAGCATGAATCTGGTGACTTCAAGGAACAAACCCATATGCGTCACAGATTTGTTTGTTCTGACACCAAGACATGGAAGCCGTCTGTATCTGCAGGAATGCCTACCCTACCTGGACTTCAAAGGTGAAATATTTCTTGAGATTCTTGATTATCATAACAAGAAAAGGAAGCTTGATGCCCAATGTCTTCTTGGGATCTGCGGGACATGTTATATACGTGGTACTGCAGGGAGTAGATGAAACAGAAAGACAAGGGAGATGAAGGAGGGTGACGAGTGCTTGTAATAGGTTGACCCGAGCTGGAGAATCAGTTAAACATAAACTCACCTGACGTTTGCCCCCTCCACCTCCAACACCAGGGAGTGGATGTCATTGTCCGTGATTCTCTTGATGTGACCATTCTTCACCTGTGAACACACAGAAATATCATGAGCTTTAACTTACATGGAGAAAGCTGTATCTCACTGTTAAAGGAGCTGTGGCAGAACCCCACTGAGTTTGTGTCCTTTTGTTTTTATTTGTCGTCTTTTTGGAAAAACAGCTCACACCATAAGCCTGTATTGATTTGAAATTGTGTTAAGCTCAATGTGCTCTATAAAAAATGCCTCTTGGACCAATGTTTCATCAGCGCCACAAGTTCGTAAAATCATTGTAGCTTGATATATAAAATAAATGTGATTTATTATACAAATCATCATCATCGTAATAACTAAACAGGGAATTCATGTATTTATACTTTTTGCTGAAGCAGATTAACCCCCTTAACCCCCCTTATCACATGTTCAATGGAAGCTTGATATGAAACGTTCCCCAACAGAAGCTCACTCGGCTGTTTCAACACTGCATCCAAAGCACACTACAACAGAGAAGGCAGTTATAATACAGCTAAAGCTTTAAGCCCAAAACACGTACCACTAGTTAGCTTTAGCACGGCTAGCTAACACAGCTATATTCGGTTCATATCTCACCTTTTTATCCCAAATCTGGAGCGGTTTGCTGCCGATGCTGTATAAGATAGACAAGAATCCGCTCTGAAAAGTATTTTTGAACATCTTTTTAGCGTTTTGTCCACGGTCGTGTGTGTGTTTTAGTCTGTTAGGTTAACTAAAACTGTTGCTAGATAACAAGCGTGACGTTTGTTTACATATTTGGTTTCCGTTCCCATCGCTACCGGTTCCGTGTGGTACAAAAAATGAAAACCGTTCCGGTTCCAGAGATGAAAAGGTTTTGTTTAAATAAAAAGAGTTGTGTATTTTTATATTCTCACACATAAAAGAAGAAGCGCACTGTTCACATTGACATTTTATTTCTATGAGTTTTCACCTCTCCATTATTTTAGTGTTGCTCGGGAACAGAAGCTCTTGGCGTTGTTTCCGCCGGATCTTAAATGGTAACGCAACTCGGTCGCCGTGGCAACAAAGAGCCTGACCGATGTGCAGTATACTGAATATTGTATAAATCATAGAAATGTTGATGCATAAATTAATCTAACACATACTACAAAGCGATTGATATATATATTATGAATGACAATCAATTATATATAATAATCATAATAATTTAATATGCTTTTTTCACATTTATTTTATATATCAGGCTACAATGATGAGTTAGTATTTTTAATAAAACCTAATTGCATGCCATAGTACCTTAATTTCACTCTTCATGAATTATTGCCCTGCATTGGGCTGCATTATAATTTGACACACTAAATAAATACTAAATTAACTATTAAAATTATTAAATCTCTGCTTCATTTGAGAAGTCATATGAATGTATTCCTGCTCATTGTCAATATGGTCATAATTCTGCACTGCACTTCCCTAAAGTTTTGGAGACAAAAAATGTAAAATAATTGTCAAAAGGATGAAGCACATGCAGAAAAATCCAGACTTTAAGTCCCCAGTTTGGATACTATACTTTGCATAATGCAATTCAATAGCTTCTGTTCATTTGACCCTCACTGGCTGGTAAAGGCCTGCAACTTTCAAACTATGAAAAATATCAAGCAATGTTACTTTAGTCATTTTTTCTCAGACTCTAGAAAGCTCCTCCAGACCCACAGAAAACATTTGCTGTCCACCAGCGAATTGACTTTTATATGTTGAATTGTTAGTGTACCCCACTAAAGTGTTGAGTGGGACATCCTCCTCTCTGTCTCCAGCACTATAAACAAGCTGGGATAGATCATCTGACAATGATTTCAAATATTTGAACAAGCTAAAAAACATTCAATCAAACATTAGCAAGGACCTTTGCAACAGACATCACCAGCAATGCATCATAAATCATAAATCCCTTTTTAGTTTCATATGAACTGAAGATGAATTCATTCACTAGTATTCAGGTCAGCCCTGTTCTACAACAGTTTGTTTGACATTCTGACATGTACTGTACACAGTTGACACACACATGCACATGGACGCACACAAAAACACACAGACACACACACGCACACTCTCTAGAGTGGTGGCCACCTCTCTGTTTATGTCACTGTGCTTTAAGAGGTGCTGCTTCACTCCAAATATTATATCTCTGTTAAAATAAATGCAAAAGACCCCCTATCTCTCTCTCTCTCTCTCTCTCTCTCTCTCTCTCTCTCTCTCTCTCTCTCTCTCTCTCTCTCTCTCTCTCTCTGTAAATTGAATTAAACGGGTTCACAGGCTGGCAGCTTTGTAAAAACATGTAAAGGAACCTCTCTTCTTTAATTGAGTCAGGTATTTACACAGAGACAAACAGGTGGAGAAGGACTTTTTTCCCCGACAGACCCTTTCAACATGGGACCACCCCGGAGACAGCTTTAAATAAACTTATTCAAAACCTACTTGAGTGAAATAGTCCATTCCGGTCTCTCCTTCCTTTTGTCTCATAAAGACAAGATAGTGTTCATTTTTGCAAATCTTTCTTTCTTTTGTATTTACAAATCTCTTACTCAACTGTTATTTCAGATCCTGTTATTTCCAATCCAACCAGCAGTTGCCTTTAATGTATGTACGTACTTCTATCTATCTTTCCCTGTTTTTCTGAAGTTTCTTGTCGTCCTTTTATGATACTAAGCTCTCTCCCTCCAAATCCAGAGAGGTGGTCAAAATAGAAGGAAAGTACAGGGGAGGAAGACTCTTTTCTACTGCATTCTGTTCTATATTGTGTTTATTCCTTCTTTGCACCATTGTGGGACACGGGGGTGACATGAGAGGTCCAGCTTCCTGACTGTACACTCTGCTCTGCTGGAGCAATCGTCCCGCCCAGAGAGGTTCACATCCCAACTCTACTCACTCTCTTGTCTACTACAGAAACTATAGAACAACGGAGGAAAGAATAAGTAGAACAGCAACTCTGTTACTTTATCATAAGAATATAAACATTGAAACTGTAAGAAGTTTTGGGTGGATCTACTGGACTCTTTGCCTCCTTTTAAGGTATGTTTCAGAAAAGTATTTTCTAACCTGTTTAGTTTTCTTTCTTTTTTTTTGGAGAAAAGTTACTTAAAATGCTGTTTTTAAGCTCATTCTCCATTAGGGATTGGATTCCTTGAACCATATGGGCTGCACTGATATTTGGAGGAAACAACAGCTTCTATTTAAAGCAGTGCTTATAGGTTACATGCAGAGCTTTTCTCTGAATACAGGAGCTTTCAGTCATTAAAGATTACATGAAGTGAATGTTATTGTTCTGTCTAAAACTGTTGGGATTTACATGATTTAAGGTTTAGGTTAAAGCAAGATTTGGAGACTTGTTAGTTTAATTTTATATGATTGTAGCTCTTAAAAGCTGAGTGCTGGGTAACAATCATCTGCACTAATATGTTATTGGATGTGAGCATGACATGTAGAAGAAATGGCTGAATCAGGAACCAGATAGCAGTGTGTCGGAATCTTTCTGTCCTTTAATCCAGGCCCTCGGCCATGTTTTATCCGACTGTCTGTATGATGATGAACAGTGGAAAGCCCTTCTTTGGCAGGACGTGTTAACAGGAGCTCATCCATCTCTGGTATTTATAAGGAAAGGAAAGACATTTTTGTGTGTCTGTCAAATAGTACCTTAAACAGGGAAATCCATTTGGTTATCTACCTTGTTTTATATGAAGAAAGAAGTTAGCAAGTCTGGATTGAAAGTGGAGTAAAACATTTCTCTCAGGTGTCAAACTGTTGAAGTTTCATTCAAACCCTTTTCCTCATTTAAGGTAAACTCATTTATGACCCTGCCTCAAGTTGAATAAACCTAACTTTGAATCAGAGCAGGAGCCACACTTCAACAATTAGGCCTGGTAGGCAAGACTCCGCCCCTGGTTCACCTGCAATCCAACTGAACATAACGATTTGTTGAAATATGTTATTATTACAATATATATGTTATATTTGAAATTAAGACCTGAAATTTAAGTCGTACTCATTTCAGTATAATTAAACATGTTTTATCACATGGTGCGTAAGCTGCTAATGATTCATTTTTTAAAAGAAATATCCAACACAACCCGACTGAGACAGCAACATGTGAATTAGAATCTACACTTTGTTAATTTCACACTCCATTTCTGTCTTACATAATAGTTCACATAAGAGCTGAACACACTTTAGATGGAAATCTATGCAACTAAGGATAGAAAGCCAAGAAAACACGCACTGTAGGAGGATAGAAGTTCGTTCTTGGCTTTGTAAAGGGTCGTTTCACAGAACGATCAAATCAATATTTCTAAGGTCACATGTCAACGGATCCATCTTCATCACAAATGAGCACACTCCAACTGCAGATGAAGACCATGTAATACGTCTGAAAGCCCAAAAAAAGGTTTTGGAATTGTGATGGCTTTGTGAAACTACTGTAGTTTCAGATAGTTACAGAACAAATATACCAACGCACTGCAACATATCTGCCTTTTTTTTTAGTAGCTTTCCGCTTCCGATGCAAGTTATATTTTCCATACATTTTATCTCTCATCACGTCCTCTAAGCCAAACCAGAGTTCCTTCAAAACGATTGGTCTGTTGTTAGCTTATTGTATAGTTACATTCACCTTAAACCTCTTGAAAGAGAGCAGCATCTGCATGTTGGGGACTTTAAAGCCTCCCCTCTCCTAAACAGGAAGCGTCAAATTTATCAAATTTATGTGGCTCGTTCAAGACAAACCCATATCTCGTGTTCAACACAACCTGTGTCAGCTGTGTATTAAATAGCAGCTCACACTGACATGGTTCCTATCAATATTGTACACTGTGTTTAACACACAAGGTCACTACTTAGCTTTGTTGAAAGTGTCACATCCTTTTAGAGCGCGTATGAAGATGGATTCAGTCATCTCGACGGTACGAGAGAACATTGTTTATAAAACGGGGATTTCTGAAGTCTCTCCCTCTGGATTAACTCCTGCTGATGTTGACCACTTTTCATCTCCAGGGGTCATTACTCTTTCTTTTAGTTTTTAGTACGCGTGCGTCTGCTCACCAAGCTGAAAAATGTTGAGTTGTTCTGAGCCAATGAGAGCACATTTCATCACTTTAGACTTAAGCTGTTTAAGTCCATTTATAATACAATGCGACTGACTCCAGCGTGTAAGTGTGAGGCATCTTTCTCTTACAAACATTATGGGAGTTCCTTTCATAAGTCTAAATTACTGGTTATAAGTAGACAGCAACAGAAACAATCCTAACATGCTTTTAGCCTGCAAACAAATGAACCTCGGAGATTAATCAAGTTTATATTTTCACTATAACAAAGACACAAATGATGCAAAAGTCATTTCATTGCTATAATGACTTGTATAACTGTCAATTGAGAAAAGCTAATATTGACATCAAAGGAATTCAAAACACAACACAAAATTGACCTGTATGCAGATGATGTATTACTATTCTTACCAAACCTTCCCTTTGTTTCTCAATAATAGCCTCCTCCTCTCAGAATAAATCAGAAAGTGTTGTTTCTTGTCTTTTTCTTCCTTCTCCTGCCACTCAGATCCCAAACCTGTCATTCAGTCATCCTTTTCATCCAATGGAGAGCCTTCTTACCAACATCAGCTCCACCTCCACCACTGAGCCCCTCTTGACACCTGACCCAACTAACTGCAGCACCTGGGACCAGCGGTGGGGGGCACCTTACCTGCATAGGTTAGCCCACCTGGACATGCAGCTGTACCAAGACTTCTACGCTGTGTGGGTTTCTCTCATGGTAAGGATACCCGTTAGTAGGAGAAGAGATCATGTTAGTCCACTTTCCAACCCACAACCGCTGTGATGAAAAATAAAATGTAGTATAAAGCCTTTTTTCTTTCACGATTTATGGAAGGAAACAAGAATTTTTTCAAAAAATAGGTACGTTAAGGAGAGAAAAATATCTAATTTATTTAGAAAACTGGTTTGAAGTATAGCCACCTTGCTTAACCGGACTCTGTATGAAATCCACAGTTGTATTCAGAGTACTCCGTTCCTCCATGCTGCAGGTGTGTAACGGTCTGATGCTGGTGGTTGGTGTGGTCCTCAACAGTCTGGCTCTCTATGTGTTCTGTGGGGCCTCCACCCACACCTCAGCCTCTGTGGTTTACACCATAAACCTTGCTGTGGCTGATCTGATGGTGGCACTGTCGTTGCCCGCTCGCATTGCTCTGTATCACAGTGGAGGGAGCTGTGTGGCCTGCTCCTACGTTCACACCTTCAGCTACTTTGTCAACATGTACTGTAGTATACTGTTTCTGACCAGGTGAGTTGGCCACTCCTTCATTCAACATTTAAAATGAAAACAAACTATCAGCAAAAAACCTTTTAACCTCTTCTCTCTGTGACTTCCCTTCCACCTGTCCTCTATCAGTATCTGCATAGATCGGTACCTCGCTGTCGTCCATGCGTCCAGTACTCTCCATCGATGCAGGACCACAGGAACAGCCAAGTGTGTCAGCGCCACAGTCTGGTTCATCGCAGTTGTGGTCACCTACTCTTTCCAGGTGAGGACTACATGCACTACAAACACAACATAGTCATCCTAAAAGGAATAAAGGAGAAAGCGTGCTTTTAGATGTGTTGGGATCTCTTTCCTGCTCTCTACAGACCACAGCGTTGGAGTTCAGCTCCTCCTGTGTGCTCCTCCCGGCCCTCTTCTACCTCACCATCCTGGAGTTCCTGCTCCCCCTGTTGGCCGTGGTGGGCTTCACCCTGCGGGTCGCCTGTTTTCTCTCCTCCAGCCACGGCCTGATGCCCCAGCAGAGCAGGGCGAGGAGGGCACGTGCTGTCAGACTGCTGGCCACCGTCCTGGTGGTCTTCACCATCTGCTTCACGCCGTTCCACGTCCGGCAGGTGCTGGTTTACTTCCGGGTCAAAGTCAGAGGGGAGGGGATAGGACAGGGGGCGGGGCACGTACTTGCCTATCACATCACAGTCACCCTGAGCAGCCTGAACAGCTGCCTGGATCCAGTGGTTTACTGCTTTGTGACAGACAGCTTCAAGAGACTGTGGAGGACAAGGAGGGGAGCAAGGGAGGGGGACGGGGAGGCGGGGCACACAAGTGGGGGAGAAGGGGAGAGGAATTCAGTGAATAAATGCCCAGGTACGGCACTGGTGATAGCTCACAGCATGGCCACACTCACTCTCACGAGCTCTCCCCTCTCTGCTGCCAACATGGAACATTCCACTTAAAGACAGGTGACCCCCTCGACCCCTGTGAGTGTAACAGTCCAGAGACAAAGACTCACCTAGAGTGATGGATAAACAGATAGAGAGATTGTGAGGCTGAAAAAGAGCAAACTAAGTTATCAAAGAGAGATGTAAAAAAACGGAGAAAAAATAGATACCGCAAATTTCCCCTTTAAAAACGTCCCTTCAGTGGCTGCCTCTCTCCATACATCCCTTTATCTCACCATGTCTTTTCGCCTTGTTTAGATTTTGTCCTGAGGCTGGTGAGAGCAAATACTGGACCACAAAGGGATGGCTTTGCTGTGAAACCAATGAGCTCGTACTGTTAGAGAGACCACATGCGTCACTTAAGTGAAAAAAAATGACCTTCACACAGGATTCAAAAATATTGAAAGATCTAGAATTACAGTTCACTCTGCCAACTCATGTGGAGCGGATTATTATGAAACTATAGACTATGTAAAAAGTTGAGATTTGGCCACACTATGTGAGCTGCACCTGTCAAATCAAATGCAATCTAATACAACAACTCAGCCATAAATTCAACCTTTACAAAGATATTGATGCTCACTTTTGATTGACACAATAAGAGTCATATATTCAACTAAATGTTTATTTTTGAGGTTGCAGTTGCATGTTGAAGTGGACTAAATTTAGGTGTTTCTAATGTTTTGCCATCCTCAAATATGTCAAGAGTGGGGTTTCAGTACAACAACTGCAACCCCAGCAGTAAACATATAGTTGTACTGACAAAAACTGTTTCATAAACATGTACCTGATTACATTAGGATGTATAGGTTGTAGTGAGAAGTGTTGACTTGCCTCGTGTCTTTTTGTATTTTGAAGTAAAATGGAATTAAAGCGTTAGAGAGCAAAGCAATGGGATAGAGTCATGGTGAAAACATTAAATAAGCTGGAAGCAAAGCTCTCTTCGGAAGTATAAACACTTGTAACCGTTACTTTCTCAAGTACGCAGTGAAGCTCTCTTTGTTTATCATTTTACAATTGTGTAAATGGAGGCCTGACGTCACACAGAAAACACACGTCTCTTAAACACGGACTTTGAAGGGGATTAAGAAAAACAAACCACCGATTGAGTTTCAACAAATGTCTCCGTTTATATTTCTGACATTTTGGAGGACACGATGAGGTGAGGTGTGCAGAAACATACGATACAAAAATACACATTTTTGTATCGTTTTAGAAAGTTAAAGCTTAACTTTTTATTTTTTCCATTTGTGTAAATTTGGGAAAGCACTGAACGGAGTCAAAGGACTAAAAACAACAACACGGGGACTCTACACTGATTTAATTTCTTCACTGTCGACTACAGCCTCACAACCATTGCTTGTTCTTTCCATTTCTTACCAATTAAAGTTTTTCTTTTCTTTGCATCATATTTTTACTTGTTTGATGATTTGTTAGATGTAAAGTTCTTTTTCATTTTTAAACCTATGCAAACCATCTTTCGCTGCTGTTGAATTCAGTGTCACTCTCAAACAGTTAAACTATGTCTGTGCACAGTAACAGCCAAAAATGTAAATATTATTGTGTAACAGAAAGACAGTAAAAATCTGCATGAATCAGATCTACAGAGCTGATCTGATTTGTTCCACCAGAGGACAGTGTCTCACCACAGCAGCGTCTCTGGGATATTATGGAACAGTAAATTGAATGAAAACAGAATTGAAACAAAATAATCTGATAATTGTACTCAGGCACATGTAGGTGCTGCTCAGTATAATATGTAAAAGTTGACCCGTGCAATCTGTGTATGCCGTTTTTATCTCTTTGATTTGCAGTAGAAAACGTTGACATAGATATTGTCCTCTATACTCAAAAAGTGACATTTTCAACAAAATTTGATCCAGATTATTACCCAACATGAACTTCAACTGCAGTCATCTAAACTGAGATGTAGTAAATATATATGAAAAGGATTCAATCTCTTGATTTACATTTTTAAATATTACATATTAGAGAAGAGCTGTTCAGTCATGGTAGCAATAGGAGCCATTACAATGAGTGTTAATTCTCTTTAATCCCTCTAAAGGGGCAGCAGGTCATTACAGTTCACTTAACATGATGTTCCAGCACTGTAACGTTATACCTCTGCATAAGTACATCACACACACACACGCACACACACTTGCCATCAGCTGGTCACATGACCTTGACAAGACACACACAAGTTTCAGGTTCCTTCTCTGGTGTCTCTGTATGGAAAGAGGCCCTGAGTGTGTGAGAGCTAACACTGATTCTGCAGGAACAAAGTTTACTGATCTCCTCTTCCTCTCTCAGCAGTCTGACCACACGGCATCATGGGAAACCAGTAGGCTGCTTTGAGGCTTTGAAGGTGCTGAGCTAAGACGTTTTTACCTCAAAAGAAAGAAGTTGTCTTGAAACTGCAGACAAGCAGGTTACTTCCCCAGCAGTCACATGAATGATGACATGTATACCTTAAACTCTCCAGAGATATGAAATTAAAGAGTTTTAATGAAGACCATGTGAGGTTTAAACGGGTCAGTTTTAAACCAGTGCTCCTGACTAAATTGAGACTTTTAATTTAACATTTTTCTCTGTGCTCTGCCTATGAGTGCCTGAAGATGCTTTCTTTTCTGTTATTTCATAGGAGCTCATTTAAATGAATAATTCCTGCATCAGCAATAATACTGTGAAAATGTCACGCTGCATTGTTCAGACCCGTCGGTAAAATCAATGGATTTAAAAGTCTGTAAGATAATTACCAAATATCTTAAAGCGGTAATAAGTCCTTCATAATATTTCTGCCAACAATTGTCTCCATCCTTCTGAACATCTGCATCCTCTCATGTACACATAAATCCTCTTTAATACATTCACTTAAATCTTGCAGAGTGCCAACAGTCAGAACTTAACTTAACTTCAGATTACTTTAATCATTTTTGGGATGAAATTGTATATCTAAATGTAAAGCAATGTTTGCTTCCCCATTGTCTTCTAAATTACATGTATTTCATCTAATATTTAAGTTTCTGGGTATAACTGTATATTTACTGCGACTTCTAAGAAGTCAGACTGTGTGTGATGTGATTATAATTCATAGTTTTCCATGCAGGACAATATATGTGGAGCTTGTAATCACATGATTTGACTTTCCAATACTACAATCTGATTTGTTCACGCAACCCTCTGCTCACTCCTCCACCAGCAGAACGTGCTTAGAGTACGTTATTGAGCTGTAAGTCTGTTTTGAAATCTTAAATAATGACAGGAGTCCTTTTTGGTTTAATTCTGAACAGATTTTAAAGGTGCGTTCCATACAGTGTTCATCCAGAGTCCTACATGTGAAGGCTCAAGCTTATTTACAGAACATAGAGATATATACAGTCTTTATATAGAAAACAAAACTACCAACAAAAATAATCATCTTTTTTTATAGCAGCAAAAAAGAAGAAACTAAAAGAGAAATATGTATATTTACATCTTATTTTTTCAAATAACAAGGCATATTATATATAGTACAGTGCGCATACTTGCTTTCCCATTCTTTAAGTATTCTTCTAGATTTAATCTCTGTGAGGATCAAAGTATATAGGCATCTCATAGCCACACACACACACACACACACACACACACACACACACTCACACACACTCTCACACACACACCGAGTCTGGCCAGGTTGGACTATAACTGCATGGCCGCCACGCTGCTGCTGTTACTGACAGTTGCTGCTGGGAACATGAAGCAGCATCACCACCACGTCGCCACATTCATTCAATGATCAGGACCGTGGAGCCAACATGGCTGCCACTGAAAAAGTGCAAAGGCCAAACTCTCATGTGTGGCTGTGCCTTAAAATAAAAATTAAAAATACACTTTCTAGTTGAGTTAAAACACCAGAACAGAGAGAATAAAGACTAAATAACCTCAGGTATTGCAGCCATCGATTCCAGAGTTAAGTGTAAACCAGGTGATTGCAAAGAACAGAGAACATGAACCCAAAACAAACACTGAGATGACGTTTAACACGCTCTTGCCTTTCGCTTTACATGTGAGCAGCTGTGACACGACTGCAAACATGCGCGCACGCGCACGCGCACGCGCACACGCACACACACACACACACACACACTCCAGTCTGACTGTGTAACATCTCCCGTAACAGCAATTAGAATAGCTTTAACTGATTTTGGAAACGAAGTGAAATGTGTCCTTTACGGACATGAAAGCTCTAAAAAATAAATATCAACAGTTTGTTTCTTCCTTTTTGCAAAAAACACTTCTACTGTTTTTAGTTTTTTCTTAACTTAATAATGTGCAAGTTCTGTGCAATGTCAGGCTTGTCGAACATCAAAACAAAAATTATTTCGGCTGAAATCACTTCACATTCATTGACCTTGTTTTTAACATTTAAGTCACAAGATGGAATCAAAAAGGTAAGAACTCAATCTCCCAGCAGGCCATGCTGCTGTCTGAACATTCCAGAGTCTGCGGGTAATAGAAGGCTTGGGACGTTGGGGAAAAAAAGAGAAATCAAAGACTTACCACTGTATTGAAAACGAAACACTAAAGTTGCACTTCAAGTATTCGAGGCCTAGAGTTTCTCACCTACACTTTCAACAAGGAGTGTTGCTCGGGAAGACGACACAAACCTCGTCTTCAGGCCACATGCACACTGTGTTAAAAAGCAACGAGATGTGTGCCGTCTCAAACTGTACTCGGAAAAATGTGCACAAACTTTGGAAAGTCACATTGCTTGTCGTGCGTGTACTGACCCAGACCGAGCACAGAGTTTCAGCTTAAATAGTACATGTTGGTTTTTCTTCACACATTTAAGTTCAAAACAAAAACATCCAGCCATGCATTAGAAAATACATCCCTGACCTGTTAGGACAACAAAGAGCTTGAGTGATTTGTACAGAGTCATACTTTGGTGTTCCGCACATGCATATTGCTGTTGTCACATGCAAACCTCTCAAACCCAAAGCTATGTTTTTATCTTCATGTTTGTCATTAAACTGACGCTGTGTGTCCATTATTTAATCCAGACTATTTTATTGCCCTAGAGGTTACAGAAGACATTCAAAACTCTGGCATCTGTATCCCCTCGTCTTTTGTCATTGTCCCATCCCTGCTTTTTTTTTTGTCCCAGCACCACAGCCAGAGGGTCAACCCAGGAAGCAAAAAACACACTCTCTCTCTCGCTCTACTCTGCTCTGGGACTGAATGAATGTACCTGAAATCATGGAAGGAATCTATTCTGTTAGAAACAGGATGAAACTCTGCACCAGCACCCGTCCAAGTGAAAGAAAAACAATAACCACATCATCGGTGAGTGAATTCACTTCTAAAACCAAAAATATAAATACTCCTCTCTGTTAAATGCTCTAATACACACCAAAATAAAATGTTCTTCCATCAGTAAATTAAGTCACTGCAATTTACATTTCGATTCCTTTCAAATTTGCATGTTTCAGCTGATTGAGCTAAAAGGACAACCGACCCAAATCCACAGCCTTTCCCCCCCGACAGATGCAGGATTTCACCACCACCCTCACAGACCACCACAGACCTCTTCCCAGCTGATTAACAGAGGCTGTTATTGCAACAAAAGATCGGATTTGTCAGAAAACAAAAGACACAATAAAGTGTTAAATCTTTCACTTTAACTTTCTTACTACAACTTTTTTTTTTTTTTTTTTTTTTAAAACGTCCAGCATTGTCAGCTATTAAAACATTCCAAGATCACTATTCCTTTTTGGTCTACAATCAACATTATTCAGTATTAATAAGAGTTTAGTTTTATACAACTTGCACGAGTTTTAATAAAATACTTTTGTAATTAGCCCCTCCGTCTCATCACTGTGTAAACTCAACAGTTTCTTCCTCATCCTCCATCACGTCCTCATGAAGCAGCAGACGCAGTGTGGAGAAGCATCACCGGCATCTCTCACTTCATGTAAAAGAAACTAACTGAAGCTGTTCGGCTCAAGATCAAATATATCCTAGGCATGGGCAGGCTGGGGGGTTTTTTGGTCAATTATTCTTGATGTTTTGTAGTTTTTCGGGAGGCAAAGGTGGATTGTTTTCAAGGTGACTATCTGTTAAGTTTTAGTTTTCAAGAGCAGACATTTGATTTTAATAAATTTGAAGTCTGCGGAAAATGTTAAATCTGCCTCCATTGCCTTATTTTGGATCAAGTTAAGACACGTATTTCCTAATCTTTAAATATTAAAATGTTGCTTAATTTCAAACATTTAAAAGAACATTTTGGCATTTTGGGAAGACGCAGATGAGAAGATCGATAGCACGTTCATGTCTGAATGCTGAATATTTTCACATTCCTCCAGTCCTCCTGTCATCCCTCTGTCCTTTTCTAACTATCCATTCAGCATACAACACACAGATGTCATCTAAACTATTATATCATACTTATATTTGGCCCTGTACAGTGGAACCAAGATACCTAGACCAGGAGCGGAAATCCTCACATAACAAGCCTGAACTAGAAGGATATATTTTGCCTCTCTTACATTACATATTTATCCAGGACCCATTCTAACATTCTTGTGTCCAATTCCAGATTACTGGTAGAGTTACTGCTGGATCCACTGGAACAGAGGAGCGCCAGGAGCGTCCTGCTGGTGTCCGAAGACAAATGCGTCCAACAACCCAAGAGGACTTCAAAAAAAAAAGTTCTTACTGGATGCTATTGAACACAATTTCAAACTATGGCTCAGCTAATGTGCAGCTAGTGACAAACATTGTGCTAACAGCATTTTCTTAAAATGATTAAGCAAGAAAGCAGAGAGAGAGAGAGAGAGAGAGAGAGAGAGAGAGAGAGAGAGCAGCTCCACCTCTCTCTCCTCTTCTTCTCTGGTGTTTGGTTTGTCTCTCCTCTGCTCCTCTATCATGCAGCATGTAGGTCAGTCGAGATTATTCAAAACAAACAGAAGCATCATTCTGGGCCCTCAATAAATCATGACAATAATATTTGGGATTGTAATGCCCTGTAGACTGCACATATTGCAACTGCACTCATTTTTTTCCCCCGGGAATCTCACTCAATACACATCTGTATTCTTGACCCTCAATATACAGGCCGCTTCTGAGCAGAGCCTATTGTCATCTTTGCCCTGGAGTGAAGGCCAAATTAAAGACTTTAGCACTCCTGCCACGTGGAGGAGGGCAAAAACACACACACACACACACACTTGCAATCAATCTGGGGATTAAAGAGTCATTTTTAAAGAACCAAGAGCCAGGCACCGGGCTCTTTGTTTCAGAAATGCCACTTGCAGAAGTCTCTAGAGTCTTAAAGCTACTGTTGCAGAATGCTGAAAAAAAAAGTCCCGCAAATCCGAGCGTGTCATTGGGTATATTTTGGTGAAAACGTCAGCAGACACACACTCGCACACACTCTTGTCAATCTCGTCGGCATCATCATAGCAGATTAGATCGAGCCGATTCCACGGCGAGGAAGAACAATTTTCAGCATTTTTGAATGGTTGCAGCTTCAAGGACTAATGTTCGTCAATTATTCATGTGTTCATTCGATTGTGTTGACCACAGATGAAGAGGTGTGTGTGTGTGTGTGTGTGTATATGTATATGTGTGCAAGTCCCCTGAATTGTCAGGCAGCTGCTCAGTAGCACCTTCTAAAGGCCCTGAGAGACAGAGACAACCTCTCCTTAAAACCACCTCTGGACAACCCTGACAGATCAGTCAAAAGCTTATGAGGGGTAAGTGTAAAGAATTTCTGTGATGGCCGAATCAGCACTGGGACCAGAATGCTTTGTTGGCCTGGTGTGACACTGGTCCCATGTAAGATTGAGTTGTTTTCTTCAGCAAATCAAGAAAAAGCCTGTCAAAGAAAGTAGAGACACCAAGAGTGGACCAAATGTTGTGTCTGTGAACTCCAGCATGACGCGGACGGCAATATCCTAAAGTCTTCCCATCAGCAATCTTTTCAGTGAATTTTGTTGTTTCTGCAGCAGCGTGTCTGTCGACTTAAGCCAGCCAATCACAGAGCTGACTCGTTCTCCATGTGACAGGAAGCGGTGGTGGTTGTGGTGGTGGTGGTGGCCTTGCCCTTCTTGTTGAGTTTCAGGAAGCTGGGTTTCTCTGTCACCACTGTAACAGCCACTTTGTTGCTGTTGTAATTTTCCAGTTTTGTCAAGGACCGTTTCGAAGCTTTGGCGGATTCCCCATCCCTGTCAATCATAATCAAAATCACAACTGTTAGGACGGTGTTTTGGGGCTTAAAGGAACAGTTTGACGATCTGGGTTATATGCTTTTTTGCTTTCTTGCCAAGAGCCAGTTAGCTAAGCAAAAATACTGGAACCAGTTACAACAACTGAGCTTTGGAGGTGCTGATTGTATTACCTTCTGACAGCCAGGCTAACTGTTTCCTCCTGTATCCAGTCTTGTGCTAAGCTAAGCTAACCAGCTGCTGCCTGCTGCTTCATATTTATCGTAATGCCATGAGAGTGGTATCGCCGTTCTCATCTAACTCTCGGGCAAGTGAAAAAGTGTATTTCCAAACATGTCTAACTATTTCTTTAAAGACAGCAAAAAGACCAGAACTCACCCGTTGTTTGGAGTCGGGTAAATGACCAGGAAGAAGGCGGTGAAGAATCCGAGGAGGGAGCCCCCAGAGGCCACCATGGGAATGACACGAACGCTGCCAACAGCCTCCACTACAGCACCCAGAGCTGAGGCCACCAAGATCTGACTGATGTAGACCTGCAGAATAGCAAACGGTTAAATAACAACACAGTCTTTTTGTGTACTGTATGTATACATATAAACATACACCACAAAGATTTAATTACGACAATATCACTCACCTGGCAGGATAAGATGGCACAGTCGATGCCAAAGCCTCTGCGGGAGTTACCAGGACTGTGCCTGATGTACTGCAAAAGGCAGAGACACAGTTACAGTTAATGAAAAGCTACATATTAGAAAAATAGCTTTTCACATCTACAGTAATACAGAATGATTCTCTTGGCAGGTTAATATTACATATTAAAAACAAACAAACAAGGTTTTTCAAGTTGAATATGTCCGTACCTCTTTCATTTCGTGATACTGTCCCAGCAGAGCATAAGGACAATAGGAGATGCTCATGGAGATTATGCCCATGCTGCTGATCATCACCATGGACACATACACGTTAGGGAAGATTGCCATAACAGCTGTTCCTAATGAGGGAAATAAAAGAGAAAAAAAACGTTATTTGTCAGCTGTTCACTCATTTATTTAGTTTATTCTGTTATGTGGTTCATACCTATGGAAAATGCAAGCGTTCCCATGATGTAGATGACCTTAATGCTCAGGTCAAAGTTGTCAAGGTACTTCTGAAGGATAGCTGGGGAAGGTAGATTAGTGGATCGGTTAGTACAGATTTTAATGTCGAGACGAAAATAAAAGAGCACTTTACAGCCGAGAGCTTGGTTTCTTTAAAGGAACAGTGTGTAGGATTATGGGGGATTTATGGGCAGAACTAGAATGTTATATTATAACTACTGTATGTTTTCATTAGTGTATTATCACCTGAAACTAAGAGTCATTGCGTTTTCGTTAGCTTAGAATGAGACATTTATATCTACATACGAAGCAGGTCCTCTTCATGGAGTCCGCCATGTTGCACCGCCATGTTTCTACGGCAGCCCAGAGCGGACAAACCAAACACTGGCTCTAGAGGGGGCCATGAACGTGTTTACTTTAGTTGAAGGCCACCGTAGATGCTAGCACACACTTGGGAAGGAAGGGGTGAGCTGGGGGGGAGGGGGTGTTCAGTTGGACGACAACTGCAACCTCACCACTTGATGCCACTAAATCCTACACACTGTTCCTTTAAGACAGTTTGGCAACCCAATATGGAAGTGTGTGTGCATGAGACTAAGTGCATTCATATGTGCTTGTGTTACCTGAGCACGTAGCAGCAGTCATGGCATATATAACCAGTCCCCAACATCCCATCTGAACTCCTTTGTGATAGTCCTCCAGCAAAGTAGAGTTAAGAGGAGCCTGAGAGAGATAAAAACAGGCTTCGTTCTTAACTGGGCTGTGGATTAACTAGGCAGAGACACACTCTCATCTTGAACCTTTCTGTAGACAGCTTGACATGACAATATCAGAGTAAGAGACAAAAAGAAAAAGACCATAAGAAAATGAGAAATTGAACTTAAGATAAATGCAGGGAAATATATATATATATATATATATATATACTGTATATATATATGTGTGTGTTTAGCTGCTGTTTCACGTACAGTAGGATCTCCGTGGTAGATGACTTGACCCATGAAGTCAGTGAAGAAGATGGCCTCAGCAATGATGGAGAACCAGGTGAACAGGTGACAGGCGCACAGTCGCAGCAGCTCCGGAGGCATCTTCAGTATGGAGTGCCACAGCAGCCGCACAGTGGTCTCAACCTAAAGACAGGAGACCAGGTCAGACAACACCTACCCCAAAAAGACACACTTAACATACCAGAACGAAATGACGGAGTAAATTCCTTCTCACCTCTCCCTCTTCGCTCTCTGTATCCCCACTGGAGGAGTTAGTGTTTCCGCTGCGGTGTCTGTTTGTCTGTCTGTGCCTCCTCCTGTGTCTGGCCTGCACTTCGTACAGGTCGTTCATGCTGCGAGACGGCTTGATGAGATAAGCTGCATGGGCCTGGCGGCAGCGGTAGCGGTGGCTCCCCACTCGACCGTAGTAGGAGAAGGTGCAGGACGGCTGGCGGTAGAAGATGTGACGGTGACATGACTGCCGCATGGGGGCTCCAGTACTGGCGGCTGGAATAAGAGACGGATTAAGGATCAACATTAAGTGATGGTTTATTATCGTTATTCACAGGTTAAGAAACCTTAAAATACTGAGAATAGGGTAGCACATTTTCCCCTTCTTTTCATGGGATTGCTCTAAAGTACACTCCTTTGGATCTAGCTCTTCATCTCCTTAATGACTCCTCAGAGTTGCTGCTCCCAGAAAAGGTGAATATATTATTTCAAATACATTGTTGTAATCAGCAAGATTCAATACAAAGACTTCAATACAAACAAATTTGTTTAAATAATTAAATAGTTTTCTATCACATCAGTTCAAATAACACTAAAAAATACTGGATAGCTCATTAATAATTACAATAAATATTATAATTTTTTTCATTGAATCTAGAATTGTGAAAGTGAAAAATAACGTTAAGATACAAACCTTTGACCATTCCAGCCCGATGTGCTTGTCCTTTAGAGCTCAGCCCGTTGGTGCTAGCTCTGTCAGGATTAGTCACACTGGCTAACAGCCGCCCGTTCAGTGTCCGCTGCTCGTTGAGCTGGTTGTTCAGCAACGCCTCCTGACCGTCGTCATTTTCCATTTCCTGTAAGAAAGCGGAGAGGCGGGAAATTCTGGGGCTGGTGGCGTGTGTTTGGTGGTTGTTGGGTTGGAGCAGGTCTTGACTTCCTACACTGCTGCTGCGTCTGATGTTGCCAAACCGGGGTGGCGGAGTGCTACGGTTTAGGTTGAAGAAGTTGCCTGTCGTAGGAGGCGAGCCCTGATAGGGTGAGAGGCGGTCAGCAAAAATGGACGGCTCTAAGTGGCACAGGTACAACGCATCGTGGTCCAGGTGGTCGAGAGTGGTGTCTGCCATGGCGAGGACACTGTCACTTTTACCTGGAGACAGATGGGAAGAGATTAGTTTAGATGTGGTTCCATAGCAGTTAACAGTTTAACTGACGTTGTTACATCCGGACAGAGACGACTTTCTTTCTGTTTGATTAGGATTAGGATTATTTGTTTGGATTTGAAGGGTAAAACATGTCGTTCAGTTTCAGCAAAAGAAGCAAGGGTCTATGAACTTACTTCTCACAAGCTCCATCTCTAGGAAGTCCATGTCCATATCCCCATGCTCTGACAGGTTGTCTCCATAAGGGTCATAGAGGTCGTAGCTGTCCATCGTTTCATCCTCTCCAATCAGTTCAAGCTTGGGGGCGAGAAGTCCATTCCTGCCATTGGTTGATGGTTGCAGTTTGGTGCGATCCGGACTCTCCTGGTGAGGACAGAAAACCAAAGTCTTAGGGTTTTTTTATTTTGTTAAACTACAATTATATTTTAGATTGCAAACACACACACACACACACACACACACACACACACACACACACACACAGTACCTGATCCAGTCTGTCATGTTGGGGCAAATAAGGCTGCTCATCGATGCTGAAGAGATGTAACACCACAGAGACGGAGAAGAGGATGGCAGCGAAGACGAACAGGATCTGCTCCTGGGACTTGAAGATTGCTCCAAGGAAGGTGTGCGTCCAGTCTAAACCTCCGAGGGCGTAGCCGACCGCACCACCGAGACCTGCACACACGGACAAAAGTTTAAACGTACAAACGAAACATAGGCAGAAAGGGATTGTATCTGATTCTCTCTGAGTGCTAGTTTATGTTAAATTTGTGTCCATTCCAGTCAGTTACGTTAAAGCTACCGTTGCCATATTAAAATCCTGTGAAAGTGTGTCAGAAGTCAGTTGTACCTGCTGAGGCAGCGTGGATGTTGAGCGCCATGTCTTGTTCCTCCGAGTCCGCCACGTCTAGCAGGTACGCTCTGATTGGTCCCTCCGTGGCATCTGCACTAAAGTCCAACACTACCACCCCCAGCACAGTAAGAACAATTCCTATTGGTTGGCTCCCCTGCTCGTCACCCATCGACAGACCTAATGGAGAAAGACGTGAATAGACAAACAGTTATAATTGTAAAAATACATTTGTTGTCATAATACAATTAAATAACCAACAATAAAAACTGTTTGATTGTTGAACAGATAACAGAAAGAGATGTGGATACAAAATAAGGCAGATGCATATTGAAATGGGTGAATTAGTCCTAGACGCAATGATTGTTAAAAAAAAGGCTAATAAATATCTACAGAAACTGAATAGAACTCATAATTACAGCACATGTACAAAAAGTCTACATACAGTACATTTTAATTTTAGAAATTAATATTATAGTAGGAAATATAACACACATCTGGAATGTTAAACTGATTAGTGAGTTACAACACCTGTACACCACCACAAAGACGTACACAAATGGGTCACTGCACATTTCCCATACTGCTTCGCATGATTTGTGTGACCTCGTGTGCCTCATTACATTTGAGACCCAGTCCTGCCCTCGAGCTGCTCAATGTGCGTTTGTGTATGAGGGCTTAGTGTGAACTGGTATGAATGTATGAACCCAAAGCTTGAGGATCATGTAAATAAATGTGCGAGTGAGTGAGTGACACAGCATGACTTTGCAATGAAATCCATTAACGTTGGGGAAACAAAACGTTCATAGCAAGACTGTGGGTGGGTGTGTGTGGGTGTGTGCATGGGACAATGGAGCGGCACTACTCACTAGAGCCAGGCAGACAGACAGGAAGTGAATTGTGATTGGTGTAAAGGGGGAAAGCAAACAGGAAGCATTTCCCTGTGAACTGCCTGCTCCTGTGTTCCCATGTCAACACGCACGCACGCACACACACACACACGCGCACACAGACAGGTTACTACAGTTTTCCCATATCACACTGTGTTGTCAACACACATTCATATATACATAACCATGGAAACATACACTTTCTCTCTCTTAATCTCTCATCTCCCCATACAGGTTACTGGTCTTTTCAGAGACAAAAAGATGTTGTAGTTTTTGCTAACTATACAGTTGTACCAGCAGAGAATACATGCAACCAAGGTCTGAACGCTAACACCATGCCTGTAGCTAGCTAATGACATCAGATTTTTAGCACCCTACGTCTACCAGGGATGCAGCTGATAACCAAAATGATGATGGATGATGAAGTTAGCAAGCTACTGTAGTCTGCTAACATTGAGGTAGTTGATAGTTATTACAAATAATAATGTGTGTAGCTTGCTGCACATGTAGACGGAGTGTCAGGATCCCACAGGTTTCACATTCTGCTGATGCCTCACTTCTTATTGCCTTAATGCATAGTTTTTTCGGTTTGGCAGCTTATAAAAACTTAGTTCTGGGTTCTTTACCCTGAAAACCGCATCTCAACACAGAGCAGCTTGAATGCATTTTGCTGTTGTTTGATAGCACCTTCACGCAATATTTTCCCCTCCAGTGTGGGCGGGACTTAATTGTGCTCTGTCTTTATGGCATGAGACAGATAAATAACTGGACCAAAGCTTACAGGTCAATACTATAAAGAACAAAAAATACTGTGCGACGTAAAACTTAAGAGTTGGTGGTCAGTGGTTATTTTTCATCTTTCTCACAATATGTTATAATTTCTGTTATTGTGTAACACAAATGGTAAAAAATTTTACCCGTGTACAAGAAAGTTGTGATAATAACAAATAATAAAGCTACTGACTGCAACACCAATCAGCTTAAACAACCGTTTGTCATCATCAATAAATTCACCGATACGCTGATGACACACACCTTACACTGCTGTTGTCTTTGTGTGTGTGTGTGTGTGTGTGTGTGTGTGTGTGTGTATAGACAGATATGGTTAGTGACATTACAACCGGAACTATAGTGATGTAGTTGGCCTTGTGAGGCAGGATTGACAACTGATCAATTTGATTGATTGGATTGGTTATATGTGTCCTTAACCATTGGATGACGTAATAAGCTGAGGGTCAAACTGAGGATAACTGAGGATAACACCAGTATCTGAACAAGGACACGACCTGGAAGCTTTCGGCAAGTGATGCTAAAAGAAGCTGTCCTGTTCTTTCAGTTCCTCTGTGGCACTAATGCATGATGGGTAAAATTTTGTGATTCAATTCCCACTGAGGCCGTGAAAGTCTCAAGTGGTTTAGATAACAGCATTCAGCAGATGGCACAAAGCAAACCTCTTGCATTTTTAGGCCATGCTTCTGTGATTTATAAATACACTTGTGTATAAAAACAGCTGTTTTTTCAACTAAAAAGTAAATTATTTTGAAAACATTAACAGTACATTTTCACACCTGCAATTTAAATATTTGATGATGCCCGTAATCCCTTTAAATTCCACATAAATGATCTTCAACTATCATTTCAATAAAATGATAGGATAATGTATTTGTTGCTCCCCCTTGTTTTTGTGAAATAGGGACACACTTCAAATAGCCTTTCCCTCTGAAAACACTATGGAAACATTAGTTTACTCGACTAACAAGATGCCTGCAGCTGATCAAAGGGCCCAGAGAGCAGAAATAAATGGAGGGCTGATATGCTCTCTCTCAGTTCCCATTCACACACACACACACACACACACAATATAAATATCGAATGATAAACACTCACCGATCAGCGATCCATTCAGAAACAGTGCCACTCCTATCAGTGTCCCTATACAGAGAGCCAGGATGAACGGTCTCCTCCTGCCCCATCGCAGAGTGCAGCGGTCGCTGGCCGAGCCGATCAGAGGAGTGAACATGAGGCCGAGGACCGGACTGAGGAACCATGTCAGACTGTAGTACTGCTCTGGAAGACCTGCACACAGACAGACAGACGGATATGAGTAATAGACAGTGATGTTGACAGCTAGCGAGAGGTGTGAGCTCTTTGATCATCATCCACATTGAGACAGATGCTCAAAGATGACCAATAAACAGATTTGACCATGCAGTTTTTCTGTCATCCACCAGGGGGTGCAAGTAGAATCTTGTAGGAGTGAGAGGCATCATTCTTTAATTGATTGGTTTGAAGTAAACTGAATATTTGCATATTACAAAAAACAAGGCTATGCATGTGATTCATGCGAAACTGCAAACAAGCACTTTTAAAATAAAACATCAATAATTAATGTGATGTTTGGGTTTACAATTCTGAAGAATGTTGCCTAATTTATATATTTTACCAAAGTCAAACTTCACTGGCTGGCTTTATTAAAATAATGTCTGTTGTGATGATCATTTTTACTTTATTTAGAATATGATAAAAGAGTAGCTACTTATGATAACTGTCATTGCAGGTGAAGTATACTGCAACATAAATTGACCGTTGTGTTGTTGCCTCAGTTACTTAAGTGCAAACTTTGTCAACGCTGGCTGTGAAAATGTTCTAAGAGGAAAAAAAAGGAGAGAAGCCATGGAGTAACTGTACGCAACAGGAGGGTCTGTGTGAACATTCGCCCTGGATTATCAAACAAAGGACTACAACGTCCACTCTTGTGTGCTGGTTAATGCAGAGAAAATGAGCAGCCGTGTGGAGTCTCAGTGATTAAGTTTCGTGGGCTTTTGTGACACAAAAGAAACGACATCTGTCCATCCTGTCCATCAGGATTATTGTGTTCATGAAACAAATAGTGTATTTGTTTCATGCTTCTTTTGAAAAGTACAAAAGTGTTTAAAGTGTTGTTGTCATTTCTGACTACTGGTGCTTAAATAGACTTGATTTAAACGTATTAACTTGAAAGCAGGAGGTCATGAAAAGCAACTGAAAGTCCTGCTGGCTAAAGCAAAAAGAAAACTGATGAAGGGGGGGGGACTCTGAATTAAATTAATTGGACTTGACCTTAACTTAGACCGTTATGTCCATGGGCCTTTGTTACTGAGCACATATTTAATTATTTTGTGCCTTAACTTTCCATCGCCGAACACCAGGTGAAGATCACACACACACACACACACACACACACACACGCACACACACGCACACACACGCACACACACGCACACGCACGCGCACACATGCACACACATGCACACACATGCACTGCGTGACAGGATCTCAAATTAGAATGGATGAAATAACTTTGTACATTTAGCTGTAAACACACAGGATGGAACAATATAACAGAAATAGTGTTCAGTAAACATAATTATAATAGCTTTTAATAATGTCAGACAAGAGCCTGCACACACAAACCTGTCATCAACAAAACCAGTTCTCATACAACCTCACAAAGGTGTCTGTCGGGGCAAGGCTTAACCCGTTTAAAACACACCCACACCCACACCCACACACACACACACCTGTGAGCTAAATATGTGTCTAAATATGTTTCATAGTCAAAATGAAACCATTTTATTTTATTTCATCACCTTGGGATATTCACATACTGTAGAGTTAGAGTTTATGAGGTTTACAGGGATTATAGGAAGTATTATAGCATCTTTTTACAGTAAATTCTATAAAAGAAACTGATCGGAAAGATGGGGGTTGAAAAGCAAGTCTATATAAGTCTCGATGAGATTATGAGTCGATTACAAATATGACACATTTCTGACCCCATTTATTTTTCCACAGGGGTGGCCAAGTTCATAGTTCATAACTCACATTTTGAAACTGCACACTCATTGCCCGAGGATATTGATAAACCAAGATATTTGCTAGTCTGTTCTGGTCTATTGAACTCATAATTAAAACATTCCTCACACTGAAAATAATAATGTTGGTATTTCTAAAGTTTCTTACCAACAAGAGCCTAACCCATCAATTTGATTACATATCAAAAAAAAAACAATCACTGCATAATTAAACCAGTTATCCCAGAGTCATTACACAGTGGTTCCATTATCACCACCAAAAAAAAAAAAACACAATTACATCAGACTACGCCCCTTGGACACGTGATTTCACTGCGCCGCTTAGAAGAAGAAGATGAGGAGGAGACAGACGGTCTTTTAGCCGAGTGAAGTCAGCTCAATCGCATATAATTAAATCTGAACTCTATCAAATAAAATACATTAAATGCCATTTGGCCGCCACACTATGCCTTTCACACGAGAGACAGACTCTGAAAACATCTACTCATGGAGTCCGTCCCACTCTTGATAATCTTTCCACCTGCGGTTTGAAGGTACGGCAGCCAAAGGTGGCTCAAATAATGAGTAATAGCTTTGCTTAAAGTTTGGGAAATACATCTTTGACTTAAGATGTTGAAGTATTAAAGGTGTATTTCTCTACGCTCATTTCTAAAAAGGTATTTGTGTTTGTTTTACTGTAAAAAGCAAAAGGAAGTACACCATTTAGAGAGTATCCCTTTAAGTGATTTCAAGCCATAATCCCCTTGTATTTGTTATTAAATCTACAGTACAGAGTGCTGTAGATCAATATATTGATATTTCATTCCTCAGTGAACAATAGAGATGGAAGAAAGCTGTGCATCGAGAGTAAGTTGATAGCAGCTAATGTGATTGAGACGACATTAGGCAACACTAAATACATCTTAAACGCATTTTCATACAACAGACCTCTGTAATGACATGGACATCGATAACGGAGCGCCACGATATCAACAATATAGAGCTTTAGTAAAATGTCCCCACCTCCTCCCCAGATCCTTTAACAGACCTTTAAAATCAGTTACGTTTCTGAACACGGCATCTGAGGTGTGACTCTGGATAGTTTACCTGCTGACTGAGGCAGTACATCCAGCATAAGAAGCTCATTTGGTTGGTAAATTCAGGGAAATGTTGCATTGGCTCCACACAGTGGGTGTCTGTGAGTGTGATGCTGATGAAGCTGTTGTCAGCAGTTTGAAGTTTGGGAAGGAGTTTGTTTGTTTACAAAATGCTGCGGTCATGTGAAAGCCTCCCTGCTGCAATCATGGTCATTTTCATGTAGATAAAACCGGTTTCTCCTCACGTCAACAATGCGATTTCCAACGAAAATATTGCCACATTACAGCTCTGTAACTGCGAGATATGTCTTGGTATTTTCTCCATCTGTTTAAATGATGTCCGACAGTCAAACTTAGAGGGCACTCATGGGTCACTGAAAACACATGCGTCACATATGCAGACTATGTTGCACAAAACGGTTTAGTGTGCCTGCACTTCACACCGTCTGCCAAGTATTATAACTTAAATGTTTGGCTACAAGAACACAGGTATATGGAGAGTATTACGAAAGAATGATACATGCCGGGCAATCGTGTTTCTTTATGAAGATTATTTCTTGCCTTTCTTCGTTAGTCAGCAGTGGGGAAAGGACAAGAAACGTGCTGAGAGAGCAACAATGTGAACACATGGTGTGCATCTACTAGCATTGTGCCACATTGGCGCTTTGCCCTCGCTCCGAACTTTACAGGTCCTGTACAACTGTCGACCTCGGTGTTTCTCATGAGCGGGCCATAAACAAGGCTTGACCCCTGTCTCCGTGGTGACCAGGTCTTCGGACACCCTGTCACCACGGAGACTCCATCACCTTCACTTCCTGGCTCCTAATATGGCCGCGTCATTCACATGGGGCTTCCTGTTGTGCGGTTTGTTCAAACTAAGGAAAACTTTGTCCGTTTATTTTTATTCCCCCTTGCTGTCACACACACACACACACACACACACACACACACACACACACACACACAGAAATTTAAAACAGTAGTATGCACACATACAGCCTACACATACAAAAGGCACATACACAAAACCTGTTTAAACTCAAACAGTGGCACCACCATAAAACAGGAGACAAAGCAGCAGATAGGAATCTGTCTGTCTGAAGGTTTGTCAACATCAAAACAGGAAAACTGTTTCCCCCCCCACACACACACACAAATGATACAGAAAAACACACAGCTAGTAAATAAAGACGTCTCTGTTCCCACACACACACACACACACACACACACAGACAGACAGACGCACCTACCATAATAGCTGAGTTCCCACACACTCGTAGTACTGTAGGTACACACACAAACACACACATTGACAGGGAACAATACTGAGAGAATCAAGACTCAGGAAGTATTTCAGAAAGAGAGAAAAAGAAATGAATGGAGTAAAGAGAGAGTGTGAGAAAGGATTGAGATGAAAGAAATGTTTAAAAAAGGGTTAGGATAAGGTGAGACAAGGAGGGAGGAAACAGAGAGAAAAGAGAGGGAGAAAGCCGGAAAGATGGAGAGACGGATGGAAAAGGTTAATATTCAAGCCGGCAGATGGCGAGGATTGTTGTTGATTGATCGTGGGAAAGAAAAATGCACAATCTGCTCCATCTATCATCAAAGTGCTAATTTTACTATGGACATACACACACAAACACACTAAATATGGAGCCCAGTGTGTGACTGTTGAGTACAGACTGGCCGTTCATACCAACTTCTGCGCAGACTTCGTGTGTTTCTCCACGTCGTGCCTGCACTCAGAAATAATAGAATAAAACTCTGTGGATCAAATTTTTTTCCAAACAACAATCTAATTTTTTCGATTTCAAAATCGCATTGTGTGAATAAAAGATATTAAAATGTGAAAAACAAAAAAAAAAAATCACTCAGATAGCAGGGACAGGTATGCTTTTTAGAATCACATGACCCAGAATTTGAAGTTGAAATCAATTCTGCGATCGCTTTTTTCCTTTAAAATAACATATACTCAAGTTTTTATCTACTGTATTTACGCGCAGACTTTCATTTTTTTTAAATAATTTCAAACAAACGATGCCCACTGTTTCCTTCTTTAAAGGGACGTCTGACATCAGTTGGTATTCACGACAGTCTTTCCTTGTTTTCAGGAAGTCCTGAACAAATATTAGTGTATTTCTGTTTT